GCTAAAGCACATTCTAGACCAGCCGCGGGCTGGATCCGGCCCGTTTGAAATGAATAAAACTATTGGAAAAAAAAGACCGTACCCTTTTATGTAATGATGTTTACTTTGAATTTATATTAGTTCACACAAACACGCCATCCATGCTTTGGTTCCGGCCCTCCGGTCCAGTTTAAGAACCCATTGTGGCTCTCGGGTCAAAAAGTTTTCCCACCCCTGTTCTAGACTTTGGTACATTTTGTAACACAGTGAACTATTTAGTTGATTTTAATCAACTATGTTAAAAATGTAGCCGTCTACGTTAAAAATTTGTAGCAAGAGGTACCCATTAATTCATTATATTATTTAAATTCCACAACTTTTGAATATTTTTACTATAATCTCAGTGGCTCTTCATTACTGGACAATTTATAGTACAGTGTGATTATTTTTAAAAGTAGGAAAAATCCCGAATTATTTGAAGCATTTATTCAACTTCCTCTCTAGTGTTTCCAAATTCCAGGTCAGTATCTCCAGTGTTGGTGATCTCCTACCTTACACACCTTTTCTTATTTCAATCCCTCTTACCTACCCCCCATATGTATCTCATATATAATTTCATTGTTCCACCCACTCCTTCACTCAACACTTATTTATTGAGCATTCAACAATATTTAATCAACAAATATTTCCTGACTACTTCTTCTATGCATCAGGCCCAGGATTATAAAGAGAAATAAGGCACAATCCTTACACCTTTCTAGGAATTCCAAGTCTTGGAAAGGAAAACAGACATGTAAATATTTAGTTGCAACAAAATGTTAATACTAAGTAGGCTTGAATAACATCTTTTAGGCGCGCAGAAGGAGTGGGGCAGGGAATGTGTGCACCAGAGAAAATCTTATAGAAAGATGCTTGTACTTGGTCTTGAGGAAGAGTTGGGGAGCAGACAGGAAGTGTAGACACCTGGGCAGAGGAAACTAGGCAAGGAGGCACAGAGCACTACCCCCTTTAAGAACAATGAGTAGTTCAGTGTGAACACAGATTCAAATACACACAAGGGAGTTAAGGGTGAGCGGCACACTGGATTGACCAGGCTTCCTTTTCTAAGCTAATCAACCTGGGCTTGAACTGCGAACAGCAGAGACCTAAGGCAAGTTGTGTGCAGCTGAGTAACCACCCCAGATCTGCTTAAGGGAAAACAGAGATTTAGTAACAGGGAGGAAGGGGGACTAAAGGAGAAAGAAAGTAGGAACGGACTGGTATAGTCTGCTGGCTGGGAGCCATGGTGGCCAATCTTGGGGTGAGCAAAGGTTAGGATGAAACACAAGAGATGGATTCAAAAGACATTTCTGAGACAGAATCTACAGAATTGGCACGGAATTGTGCATTTATGCGTGTGCGTGTATGTCGAGTGGAAGTGGGTGGAGGGCAGGCAGGAGTTGAGGATGTGCCCGATTTTCTGGGTGTCGTTGTTATTGTTTGCTTAGAGAGGACTGAGCAGGTGTCTGAGAGAGAATCCAGGGAGCGGAGTGGGAGGACAGGCAGTGGTGGAGTAAAAGGTAAGACAGCTCATTTTCTTTTTGGACACCTTAGCTTGAAGTAACTGTCAGGTAATATTACGCAGCGATGACCCAGGCAATAGAAACTATGAAAAGATGGCTGGATGGAGATCTAGACTATGGAGCCATCAACATATGGATGAGATTTACAGTTGAAGGAGTAGATAAGGTCTGGAAGGAAGGGAGCAGGCCTAGAGAGAAGACCTGGGGAACAAAGGTTTAAGAGATGAGCAGAAAACAAGAACATGTGATGGAAAAAAAAACACACAGAAAAATAAAAGAACCAAGAGATGGTCTTAAAACCCATGGAGAGGACAAGTTTGAAGAAAGAGAATATGCTCAACAGTTCAAATGTGTTACCTCACCACGGCCTGCGGGGTTTATATCCTTATAGCAACGTTACCAGTGAGGAAAGCCAAGCCCAGAATGGTTGCTGATTGTCGGGGTACACATACCAGTAAGCAGCACAGACGAAAGGTGAACCTGCTCTTATCTAGGTCCAAAGACAGTATTCTTCCCCCTAAAATCCATTGTCTCTTCAGCAACAACTTCATTTGATGACCTAAAAGCTCCAGTTCCTCATTTCACCCTAAATTAAATGTGGGTAATCTCACTCCTTAGGGTCACTGGTTTCCATAATCAATAATTCACTCTCCCTTTCCTGATTCTGCCACGGGTCTGTGCTTTCATCAGTCTAACTGCTTCAGTTCTTGACAACCAGCCTGCCACCCACCGTTCCTCATCCTCTGCCTCCACCTGAGATATGCCCTCCACCCTTTGCCACAGTGCGTGGTGGTCCCGGGCATCTTCCCCACTCATTAACCCTCCCATTGGGAATATTCCATTAGTCTGTGCCCCCTTGGCATCATTCATACACATACAGAGAATGTGGTTCGCTCTGCTCACTTGAAATTTTTCCACTGTGTCTATTCTTCTCAATCAGCTTGTAAGCTCTTCAAATGAAGATGTGGTTTCCTGGAGTCAACTTTGAACCCCAATAATTAAATGAGCATAAGAGTAGGGGTAGGGATATATGTTAATAAGTGTGAATGTGGCAGGGGTAGGGATGTATGTTAATAAGTGTGAATGTGGCTTGGCTGACATAGGTTCAAGGACAAAGAATAGACCAAAATAAGCACCAAATGTAAATAAAGTAACTGGTTATTCAAACTGTTAATGTCATGTGACTTATAGAGTAAAAGGGGTGGCATGTACCCTAGAGAATTGCAGATTTTATAGGTAACAGCTCTTCAGCTAGCACTTAGTTGTTTTTTTCTTAGAATAAATTCACTTTAAAAAACCTTTTCGAATAAATTGTTTTCACAAGGTTGATAAACATCTGGACTTAGTATGTAATACATACATGAACAGTATTTCAAATAAAATAATATTGTTCTTTTAACCTCCCCTTAAATGTGTATTCCAGAAAATGTGGGCCAGTATTACAGTTGGGCACTGAACTCCTCAGCAGCCCAGTTCTCCGCCAAGTCACAGCTCCCTGGCTGGTTTCTGAATCTACATTTCAAGGATGGAATGAAACCAGTGAAACCTACAAGCAAGCCGGATAAACAGCCCAAACCAGACATCATACAATAGACAGTTATTTTCTTTGGAAGTCAGACATCAGGACGAAGCACAGAACTGTTCTTTCATTATTTCCATATTACTGGGAACGCACACCAATAGTCTCAGATTGTTTTTGTGGGTTTGAACTCCCAACTTCTTCCTTATTTTAAATAAGAAGCAACAGAACCCTTCTCCACGTGGAATAAGCCTACGGTGGCCACCTTGGGAAGACCCCACACTTGGCTCTTTCTGTTTGAAGAAGTCATGGAGTTGATTTACTTTGGACAAACACTTCAGCTTGCACACAAAGCAGAAATGTGAGACATAACTGATGTCATTTCCTGCAAAGAATTTTGTAAAGAGCTAACAATTTCCTCAGATATCCTATTGAAACAGGATGTGGAGACATCAAGTTAGGTATATGTTTTATTAACACCTCTTGAGACCTTGCAATGTGCCTGGTACTGAGCTAAACTTTACATAGGTTAGCTCACTCAACGCTCACAACAACCTTCCGAAGTGAGTACACATGCTGGGTAGACATAAGGAAACTGAAGGAGAGAGAAATTAATTAACAAGTTGTCCACAGCCACCTAGCTAAAGGGTATCAGTGCCAGAATTTAAACCCAGGCAGCCTGGTTGCCGGGGCCCAATTCTTAATCGCCGCTGAGTTCTATTGAGCGCTACTTACTTTCTTTAGGGTAAAATATTCTCCCAGTGAAAGCTAAAATAATATGATTCCATATTTTGAACTTTGAAGTCCCATGTTCAGTGGGAGTTACCCATCAAAACGAATGTAGATGCAGAAAAAAAGAAAAAGGAAAATGCACTGAAATTAACTGCACCCTGCAATGTATCCCAGGAGAAATGTTTTCTCAATAGTCATTAAATAAGTTAGCTATCACCAATGGTTATTTATTATCAGTCTTTGATGGTGCATTCCTAATTCATGCAAAGAGTATAATAGATTTTTAAATTATGTTTCTAAAATTTTAGGATATAAAGTAGGCTATTAACGACTTACATGCTAGTAGTCTTAAAAAATAATGTGGTTCCCCAACTTGCTACTGTAGTGTAAGGGTACATATAAGGTTATTAGGATAGGTCACATATTTTTATTTAATCCTTTGCCCAGGTTGATTTCCACACTTCAAAGTTCACAAATAAATCCAGAAGAACAAAAATGCCATCACCATGCACTCAACATAAAGCCACCACAGAAATGTAGCCTTTACAATATGTCACTTATATATTTGTCAGAAATAAGGGCCCATTTGAAAGAAATTTAAACATATATATACACACACACACACATATATACAGGGTGGGGCAAAAGTAATTTTACAGTTGTAAGTATGCAAAACACAGAGTTTATTCTTGTGTTATTATTTATTAATTATTGTTTTATTTTCCACATGGACAACTGCAAACTTACTTCTGCCCCATAATGTATAATCAGCAATCCACAGAGCTTCTTCAAATTACTGGTCCCTGATTTTTCAAATCCACCACTCATAAGAATGTTCCATTAGTTAAGAATTAGAAAGTAATTGTTCTACTAAGTCACTTAAAAGCAAATACACCAGCTGTTCACATTTTCAGAATCAGAATGTTCTTGGTAAGAGAAGAATTCAGAGCACTTGGTAGAAGCATTGACATCTAGTGGTATTTAATTCTACTCTGAAATTCTAAAAGCTCTTAGAATGAAATGAACACTAATAAAAGAATACACATAGGAAGATACACTCGAAGAAAATCTTTTATGGGTTTTTTTGTTTGTTTGCCATACAAATGGTAAAAGATTAAATAGTAGCATGAGGGCATTTAACCAAGCAGGTTGAAAGCGTAACAAAAAAAAACATTTCTTTGTACATACCATCAGAAAAATTTCCTTACCATATACTCCATGTTAGAGGCCGTTGGGTACACCTGACTTCGTAACTTATTATGAAGGTCCAAGATGCTCTGCATGTCATTGTCTGTGATGGCCCTTTTCCCTCTTTGCTTGGCCGTCCACCACTCACCATCCTCATCCATGTACTTTTCCAAAAGTTTTTCCAATAAAGTGGCATTAGGAACGACCATGGCTGGAACTGCTTTAGCCATGAATAGCAGCACTGTGGTCACTCGGAGCCACTCCCACGTGGTACACTTCATAATGAATGATCTCAGGGTTTCCCTGGGAAAATCTCCAAGACAGGCTCTTCCACGCCTTCTGGCTATAATGATATGCAGTGCGATTAACATGAAAATCTAGGCAGATATTAATTTCCTAGTAATAAAAGTAGAACAACGGTCGCAAAGGGAGTGCACCCGTTTGATTTCTCTCTCTATGATGCCGGAGCAAATGGACATGCACTTTTGAAACAACTATTCCCACCCATTTTTCCTCCAAAGGACTGAACGCAACGAAATGTATTGTTTCCCAAAAACAGACATTTTCTAAGAAAATATAAAGGAGGCCCAAAAGAAATAGCAAAAGTAGCCCAAAAGAGTCAAAGTTCGAAAACTAATTCCTGAATCACAAGGCTCCAAATGGCTGTAATTACACAGCCAGCCTGCAAAGGGCACTGCCTACCTAGAATGCTTTATATCCATGTAGAGGTCCATGCTTCTCTGTGTTCTAAGGCTTTATTTTTTATCCCAGTGACTTACCTACAGTTCACATTCAGAATGTCCGCAACATCCTGAAACTGAGGTGACTATTTTAAAGAAAGACAAAATGGTATTCATACGTATGTCCCTGGGTACAACCAGAGGGCCCAGCGCACGCATGCGAATGCATGATTCGGGCCCCTGGGGGAAGCCTCCTCCGACCCAGACGCTAGCCGAGAACCTCAATCATGATTTCCTGGGAAGTGTGCCTAACCTGTGGCCCTCGCCCGATGGAACCAACAATTCACCCGCAACAACATCAGAGCTTTCCTGGCCACACGCCCCGGGCGCACGGCTCTCTCAACCCGAAAGAAAAGCGCGCGCCGGAAGGAGGGGGTGAAATGAACTCTCTCACAAGAACCAGCGCCAGTCTCCATC